GGTGAGGAACTGTGAGCACTGAATGAAACCAGAGGTCTGGATAGATTCTGGAGTGCAAAACTGCTGAAGAGACCTATGGGCTCAAGGGAAAGAAATCTGACATTTTAGTGTCCTTTTTTTTTGTCTTTTTCCTTTTCATCGGTACCAGGGATTGAACTCATGACTGCCTGCTTACAAGGCAGGCGCTTATGCCACTGAGCTAAATCCCCAGCCCAAGAAATCTGACATTTTATTGTTAAATTTCATGAATATGATAATGACTTGGTGACTATGTAGAAGGAAATGTTTTTCCTTAGAAGATCCTGACTGAAGCATGCAGGGAGAAAGAGTTATGATTTTAGCTGGGTATGATGGTTCATGTCTGTAATCCCAGTACTCGGGGAGGCTGAGGCAGGAGAATCCAAGTTTGAGCCTAGCCTTGGCAATTTATTTTAAGCCTAACCTTGGCAATTTACTGACACTATGTTTCAAAAAATATAGAGGGCCTGCCGGGTGTAGTTCACTGTGATGACCCTTGGTTCACTCTCCAATACTGCAAAAAAGAAAAACAATTACAAGTGATGATGTTTGCCAACGATAAAGCAGGAAGAGACAAAAGTGTATCTGTGCACACGTGGACAGGTATTCAGTGCAAAGAAAGCAAATGCTGCAAGACGGACACTGCATTGACACTAGGTGACCTTGTCACAGAGCTCTTCCATATTCCAAGGGGTTGGAAGCATCCCCAGAACAAAGGGTGGGGTGGGGCTTGCGTCACAGGCCAGGCAGCTGGCGACAGTCGGAGGGAGGGGCACACTTCACTCTAGCAGCGTGAACCGCCCCGCCCCACACCACTGCCGCCACTCTGTGCGCTTCCTCCTCAGTGAGATTCTGGCCGCGGCAAGCAGTTTTCTAATTCACCATACTGTCTCTCCGTTATTTTCCTAAGAGTTTCCTAATTAACTAATATTTAGTTATTAAATATTTTACATTTGCATGTGTACTTTTCACTGAAAATTACTTTTTAAGCCTGTCCCCAAATTTGAAATTATTTTGGAAACATGTTAGATGGCTATGTATGTAGTACTTTTGTTCAGTCATCTCCATCAGTAGGCATTTGGGATTTAAACTTTTTGCAACTGAAGTCAAAGAAGAATATCTGCATGATGTTCCATTTTTGAGAAAGAAAGAAGCCAGGGATGGTGGTGCGTATCTGTAGTCCTTGTACTTAAGAGGCTGAGGCAGTAGGTTCCCTGTGAGTTCAAGGCCAGCCTGAACTGCATAATAAGAAGCTGTCTCAAAAAAAAAAAAAAAAAAGAAAGAAAAAGAAAAAGAGAGAAAATTGACCAGGCATGAGGCTGAGGCAAATTTGAGCTCAGATTAAGCAACTTAGTGAGACTCTGTCTAAATAAATAAAGAAGGGATGGGGTGCAGTCCAATGCAAAAGTTCTGGGTTTATTCCCCAGCACCACAAACAAAAAAACCAAACAACCCCACCCCAAAAGATGCAGATGTCTGCCTCTGTGTAAAATTAAATATAGGAAAAATAAACTAGAAACTCTAGGAACTCAAGGGAGTAGTGAACAAAGGTCGGGGAGAAACACAGGGGAGAAGGATGCAGGGGGAGCAGGGGAGACCAGGGCCCGGTTACCAGGTTACACAGCAGCCTCACGAGCGACTGCACCAATGGCTCATGTATTCAAAAGGAATTAAATAGAAAAAATCAGCAAGGAAGGTGGGAAAGAATCCTGAAGTTAGAAAAAAGCAGCAGCGGAACTATTCAGCAGCGGAACTACTTCAGATGACCCGCATAACCATGCCAAGGGAAGAATAAAGAGAAGGAGTCACTGCTGAATACAGTGGTGGACTCAGATCCGTGGGGAAAGACAGCACTCTAAAGCTGATAATGAAGTCTAATTAGTAGGTCTGTTTTTCACAGGGATGAAAATCATGGATTAGCAATTCTAAAACTATGTTCTGCAAATGCTACTGAGGAAACCAAAGAATGACTAAATACATTGTGGAGCTAGGTTTCTCCGATAGAAAAGGGAACTACGAGTATGGAAAAGAGGGTGAATCCAGTGGGTGTGGCTTAGCACGGGAAGGGTCAGTGTGAACTCCAAGGGTGCGCAGAGACAGGGACACAAATGGCTGGGGAGTCCACACGTCCACGCTGCCCAGCAGGCAGCCCAGCAGCATGGATCACACAGGATGCTTGGATGTTGGTCTCTAGACACTGTTGTCCATCACGAGTACTCTCCTCCAAGAAATTGTTGATTCTGGGGCACAGACAGAGAAATTAAAGATGAACACAGAACATCTTGTTTTGCCAGAAACTAAAGGTGGTGGTGCTCAGAGTGTGACGGAACATTTCCGAAGGAGCAGAAGCCAATTAGGAGGGGAGCCCCCTGGCTGGTCTTGGGTATACTGGAGCCTCAGGTGTCTGTACCTGTTTATAACTCATTGAACAAAATAAGATTTACAGTGGACATCCACATAAGCAAACAAATACGTAAAAGGAAGAGAAGGAAAAGCTTCTTGTAGACGGAATGAGAAAGTTTCCATCTAGAGACCGACCTTCACAGTAAGAGCTCTGACATTCCGCAGATGACACAGGCTAAGCGCGCAGCCTAGTGGCAGAGCAGTGTCCAGCATGTATAATACCCTGGGCTGAATCCCTAGTAAACAGAAACAGACAGAAGGAAAGACGAGGGAAGGAAGGAAGGAAAACAGGGAAGGAATCAGAGATAGGGACGGATTCAGTCTGGATTCACCGAGGCAAGTTTAGTAAGAAATCTGCTCTCTAGAATTTCTAGTACTTTCCAGAAGATTCTTACTACAGACAAAAAGGAAAACAGTGGTGAGACCTGGCAGACACTACCCGGAGCAGAAGTTCAAAGCTAACGTCACCACCAAAGGGGCAACGCTGAGTCATGAACCTCAAGGGTGCAACGCCTCTGTGATGACCCTGCTGAAAATACACGTCCTAAAACTAATTAGGAGGAAACATCAGAGAAACGCCAAAGAAGTGTAAAACAACAGGTGTGCAGTCATCAAAAACACCAGGCTCACGAAGGCCAACGACAGAAGTAGATGTGCTGAAGGGTGAAAGGCGACAGGGCAAGAAACGAGACAGCATCTGGGTGCATCCTGGACAGCAGACGCCAAGACGGCTTCCCTCCTCTTTTGCTGGCGGGACGTTACTGGAAGAACTACCGAGTCTGAGCGAGGCCTGGGGATGGTTGTGTTGTGCTAATGCTGATTCACTGACTTTGATAATTATGCTATGGCTGTATAGGGAAACGTCACTGTTTACACACTGAAGTCTGAAGTCACTTGGGGCCAAGAAGCATCAGTGTGTGTGTGTGTGTGTGTGTTTGTGATGTGAATGTAGGTGGAAGAGAGGCATAAAGAGGATAAAACCAATTTTTCTGTAGTAACTTTTCTGTAGTCTGATATTCTTTTTTTCCCTTTTTACAAAATCCATTTTATTTCAAGGAAAAAAATGAAAAAAACTAAAACTAAATTTCAGAACACATCAATATGGGGCTGGGGATTTAGCTCAGCGGCATAAGTGCCTGCCTTGCAAGCAGGCAGTCATGAGTTCGATCCCTGGTACCAATAAAAAAAAACAAAAAAGACAAAAATCAATATTATGTCTAATACACACACACACAGAGTCTATACTCACACCCCTTTGATACTAAAACTAATACACTGAACAACCCAGACCAGAAATAATCTTTGTCTCTTTAGCATTTTATGGAATTACTAAAACAAAGCTATACGGTTTTTGAAAGATCGGTGTTGGGCCAGGATATAGCTCAGCTACAGAAGCGCCTGACCGGCAAAGCAATATGAGGTCCTGAATTCAATTCCTGATAGCAAAACACAAAAATAAAATCCAATAAAAAACCCCTAAACACATTTAAGAGAGTCGTAGCAAAACACTGGTGTACAGAAACAGAGCTCTTGAAACTCTTGACAAGGAGAAAGGCAGCGGCCAGGATAAGGGGGCAGGTGTGGGTGTGGGTGTGGAATGGGTGCTCCCAGGGCACAAACCACTGAGCATGCCTGGAACGAGGCCACCAAGCGCAGAAGAGTCAAAGGTCAGACGAAGAGGGACGGCCGACCCAATGACCTAACACTGGTTCCTGCTCGGAAACAGGATAATTTCCCCACACAAGCACAGGCTCAGGGACCTAGGCTGACGCTCGGGCCAGGACCTCCCCTGGCTGTGCACTGCACGCTGTTGAGTCCCGGGGTCCCTGATGCACTCCAGCCAGTACAGAGGAGGCAGCCACAGCACTGCCCACAGGCCAGGCACAGGCCTAGCGGGTCTGTGAGTGTCATCTGAAGTCATCTTCCTCCTTAGTGCCTTCGCGCATTTTATCAAGCACGGTGTGGGCTCGCGCTAAGGTTCTGCAGGATCACAGCCCGCAGCTGGTAACATGATCATTCCATCTCCTCGCTGAGGAAAACAAACCTGGAGAGGCCAGGCCATGGGCTCCATGCCGGAAAGCCCAGCTTCAAACCCAGGAGACCGATCCAAAGTCTGGACTCTTACCACGGGGCTGTGCTGGGTAAAAAAACTGTATTTATTTACTTTGGGTTTTTTTGGTTTTTGCTTTTTTTTTGTACTGGGAATCAAACTCACAACCTTGCACCTGCCAGGCAGGCGCTTGTGCCGCTGAGCTAAATCCCCTGCTTTACTTTGGTTTTTAAGATGGGGTCTTGCTATGCAGTTCAGGCTAGTCTTGAACTCACTATGTAACCCAGGCTGGCTTCAAACTCATGGTGATCCTCCTGCCTCAGCTTCCCAAGTGGGAGGATTATAAGCATGCACCACCATATCTGGCTGGGTAAAACATTTTAGTTTAGAAAAAAAAAAGAAGGACAACCAATCATAGATTTAAATTTTAAGCTAAAAAAATTGGGAGATGAAAATTGTATTCAAGTAAACACACGTTTTATCTTTCTATGTGTAATTTGTTGGTCCATCATCTGCCCAAGGGCCTTACCTGGCAGAAGAACTGCGGCTGAGCTCCTGCACCAGGTGTGTTACTGAAGGTGCTGGTAGATTTGGAAGAAGGAACTGGAAGACGATGAGATGTGCTGACTGGTGCTGGAGTCCTACTGGGCTGGGCCAGCTGATCTCCTGTAAAGTTTGCTCCAGAGGGCCCAGACTGAGCTGCAGGCCCAAGACTGGGATGGGCAGTGCTGGCTGAACTGGCAGCTGGAAACCGACTGGGTCCTGCCATGCTGGTCACAGAGGGCATGGTGGTGAAGCCAGGCCTTCCTTGGGAAACACTGCTCTGCCCAGGTGACAGGTGCAACACAGTTGGAGATGCCTGCTGCAAGGGCATCTGTCCACCCACAATCTGAGGGGAGGCGTGGTTGACGATCACGGGACTGCCAGAGGTGGCAAAGGTCTGGCCGGACACTAACTGCACAGCAGGGGCGTTTTGGCTGTTCAGCACCGGTCCAGAATACGGTTGGCTGGCCCTAAGCATGCTGGAGGAGTTCCTGTTCAGCATGACATGCTCTGAGGCCACCTGGCTGGGAAGGAGCTGGGGGGGCTGAGTCTGCAAAAGCTGCCCATTGATGGTCTGGACATGGTGGACCGAGCTGGAGCTGACGGCAAGACTGGTGGGGATGAGGAACTGATTTTGGGGTGTGTGCGGCTGGCCCAGAGGGGAGTGGATGACGATACTGCCCCCAGCACTGCTCACGGCCTGTGAGGTGATGGGCTTCCGGGCGTTCTGGTGGTTGACAATGTTCACGGACATGTGTGGGCCGACCACGGAGCTCTGCGGTGAGCCCCCAGAGGCAAAAGAGATCCCTTGCTGCACGTGGTGCTGCTGGATTCCCAAATTGTTCACACTGTACGTATTTTGCTGACCTGTCTGGATAGGCTTTGGCTGGATATTAATTGGGACTTTATTTGAGTTTGGTGCGAGACCCCTTTGTATGATGATGTTATGCACAGGTAAAGATGTTTGAAAATTTGTGCTGTTAAATGGAACAGTAACAGGCTGTGCTACGGGGCTGGAACTGGAGTTCCCAAAGAGGGAGTTGCCATTTGGAGTCTGTCTGTGGACCAGCAGCCCTCCACTCACGCTTGATGGAGCTTGCTGTCCGCTGCCCTTTAATATGATCTGCGATCCATCTAGGTTATTAATAGTCATCATGGAAGGCTGATTACCAAATGACCCGATTAACTGTATTTGACCAGAACCGCTAATCTGACTGCTGTTAGACAAATGTTGGCTGGGAATGCTGATGCCCACGTGTTGCATAAAGCCATGCTGCACACCCACTGTGCTGCTTGCGAATGATGCTCCCACGGGCACGTGTGTCACCCCTATTGGCTGCAGCGTCTGACCTGAGTAACTGGAAACATTAGAAGCCTGAGTAAAGGATGCTGATGAAGAAGGATGAAGCTGCGCTTGTGCAAACTGTTGGCTGGAGCCTATACTGGCATCCAAGTACGCCTCTTCCGCCAGGGTCTGCTCAGTGATGTTCGCCTCCTGCAAGGATTTCTGAAGAATGTCGAAAGGTTGGTCCTCGCTGAGATCAGGAAGCGGAGAAGACTCAAGTTCATCCTCAAGAAACTGAAGGCTACTTGAGAGTGGCAGCCCATCACTGGGCCCTTCTCCAAGCTGGTTGCTTACACCTTTTAGGGATGACTTAGGATCAGCATTCTAAAAAAATAAGCAACATGTTACAGGGCATATCCAGTCTTTTAAAGAGATCTACAAAAAAATTCATCTCACTTTTGAACATAAATAGAGCAATGCTGCATTTTAGGCACAGCTCTCCAAGCTGCCTTCCTTTCTACTCTTTAGTTCCTTAGTACTCACGTTTACCATCATGTTTATAAGTTGTGCATCAATCATTTGATGTGTTACTTTATAGGAAACAAACAACATGAAATACTGAAGATTATCTAGAGCGCAGCTCCATGGTTTTGAAATCCTGGCCCAGACTATTTAGTTTTTTGCTGCTGGAGCCTAAATCCAAGGCCTCATGCAGACTAAGTACACACACTTCCAGCTCCGAAGCTTTTTTAGGATTGCTTTCAAGCTGGGAGCTTGGGCATGCCTACATTCCTAGCTACTTAGGAGGCTGAGACAGAAGGATGGGCTCAGTCACAGGTAGTGTGGTTGTCTAGCATGTTCAAGCTCTGAGTTCAAGCCCCAGAACCATTCCCCCCTGCAAAAAAAAAAAAAAACAAACAAGTTTGAGCCCAGCCTGGGAAACTGAGTGACTTAGGCCTTATCTCAAAATAAAAAATAGGGGTTAGGGGTTTAGCTCAGCAGCACAAGCACCTGCTTGGCAAATGTGAGGTGGTAGGTTCGATCCCTAGTACCAAAAAATAAAAAATAAAGACTGGGCTTGGTGGCACACACCTGTAATCCCAGTATTTAGGAGGCTGAGGCAGGGGGATTACAAGTTTGAGGCCAAACTTGGACTACAATGTGAGTTCAAGGGCAGCCTGAATTGTATAGCGAAACCCTGTCTCAAAAAGACAAAGAAAAAAGGGAGGAGAAAGGATATAGTTTAACGTGAAAGTCGAGTTCTGGGTCAATCCTCAGGACCCCAAAAAAGCAAAACAAAACAAGAGTATGCCAATTTACAAAAGTGTAGCCGCTCCCAGGGCTAACCTGTAAGGCCTGGGAATCATGATGGGATGAAAAGCCAAAAGTGGTAGGTGGGTGTGGTGGCACACACTGTCCCAGCAATTGGGAGGCTGCAGCTGTGAATTTGAGGATAGTTTGTACCCAGTCTAGATTATACAGAAAGACCTTGTCTCCAAACAAAACAAAACAAAACAAAACAAAACAAAACAAAACAAAACAAGCCAAGAACAGTTTCTTTCACACCCAATTAACAGCTGAAATAGGACTAACAAAGATATCACCTCAGGACTTGGCAAATCATTTGAAAGTAAGTAGAAAAAGCAAATGAAAGCAGAGGGTTTCTCAGCAGAGAAACATCAAGGCCACAATGGGTATCTCCTGCACTATGAAGCATAGTTCAACACATTCATAGGCTACAAATTAATAGACTACGGGCTTAAAACAATTTTTTTTTTTTTGAGATACTGTAGTTCAAATCCAGGGATACTCTATCATTGAGCTATATCCCCAGGCCTTTTTATTTTGAGATAGAGTCTCACTAAATTGCCCTGTGCTCACTTGAATATGTGCTCCTCCTGCCTCAGCCTCCTCCAGTGCTGGGACTGATACCCATCTTTATTAGAATACTTTAAATACTTCTATTACATCTGACATGATGCAACCAAACCTCCCAATAAAAAACATCCAATAAAGCAGTTAGTTCGAATGAATACTCATATGGAAGTAGGAGAGTTAGTAAATACAAAATATTCATGTTGAGGAACAGGCTTGATAACTATTTTATGGGCTTAGTAGCATCACATGCCATTATTCCTCATTCAAAATGCAAGTCAGGAAACAAAAAACCAGTGTCAGGAATGCTACACAGGCTGGGGCTCAGCGGGAGAGCTTGTCTGTTGTATTAGTCCTAGGGTTCAATCCCCAGCACTAAAAAAAAAGGAAAAGGGAAAAAATGTTCCTCTGGTTTCATAAGTGAGGAAACTGAGGCATTCAGTTACACAGCAAAGCGAGAGGCTAGGGAGGCTCTGACCCACGGTCCGGAGGGTGAAGGTAACCAGGAGGAGCGCACACCTGCAATCCGGCTACTTGGGAAGCTGAGGCAGAAGGATCTAGAATTTGAGCCCAGCCTGGACAATTGTTTTTATTTTTGGAGACTGGGTCTCACTGTGCAGTTCAAGCTTGCCTTAAACTCACTATGTAACCCAGGCTGACTTCAAAATCACAGCATTCCTCTCACCTCAGCTTCCTGAGTGCTGGGATTACAGGTATGTACCACCACAACTGGTCAACCTGGCAAATTCTGAGAGCCTCTGCCTGAAAGTAATTTTTTTTCCAAAATGATTTTTTTAAAAAAAGGCCTGGAGCCACAATTCAGTGGTAGAGTGCTTGCCTGGCAGGCAGGAGGCCCTGGGTTCAGTCCTTAGTATCTCATGCACTGCATGAATACATTTCTTTTTTTCTTGTACCAGGGATCAAACTCCATATGCTCAGTATTAAGGCAACACAGGCAATGGTTCATGGCTGAGCGATACTGGGCTACTTGACCTCTCTGTAGTTTAGTTTTCTCGTCCAGAATATGAATATTAATACAACTACTTTACAGAATTACCCTAAAGATTATGTTAAATGCTTAGTACTACACAATACTACATGCTCAAAAAATGTCAGGCTTTTTTCTTAAGATGAAAACAATCTATAACTGTGATCAAAAATAATTATAGGCACATGCCTATAATCCTAGCATTCTGGGAGGCCAGGCAGAAAGACTGCAAGTTTGAACCCAGTCTGGGTAATTTAGTGACTTAGTGAGACCGTGCTCAAAAAACACAAACAAAAAATTGGCCATGTAGCTCAGTGGGAAGGTCCTGGGTTCAATCCCTAGTACTAGAAACAAAAAAATCAAAGCAAAACATGGTTTCTTGCCAGGAGTTGTGGTTCATAGCTGTTACTCCTGGCTATTCAGGAAGCTAATGCATGAGGATCTCAAGTTCAAAACCAGGCTGGGCAACTTAGAAAGATTTATTTATTTATTTATTTTGAGACGGGGTCTCGCTATGCAGTTCAGGCTGGCTTGAGCTCACTTTGTAGCCCAGGCTGGTCTCGAACTTGCACCTCAACCTCCCGAGTGCTGGGATTACAGGGGTAAGCCACCACGACCGGCTCCCTTAGAAAGATCTTGTCTCAAAATAAAAAGGGCTATTGATGTACCTGAGTGCTTCCTGGTATCTCCAGTACTACCAATCAGTAAGTAATTGTTCAGTAAGTTTTGTTCAGGTGAGACTTCAATTTGTAGACTTCCTGTCTCAGCCTCCTTCAATACTGGGGTTACAACAGAGTGCACTGCCACACCCAGCTACGCGAGATTTCTTTAAAGTATATGCAACATGGTTCCAAAGATTCTGATATGACTTCCTATCTCTGAATCATTTCAGGAAGAAAGTTGAAAGCTTAAAAAACTGGCAAAGTAAATTCAGCTTGCTGTATATGTGACCAAGTTAAAAGAGAAACGTCACCCTAATTCAATGGCTTTTCCTGCTGTGTAAATTACAAAGGGCAAGGCTGGGATTCTCTGTGCTACAAAGGCAGCAAAGACCCTATTCACCAAGCATCTTTGGCCCAGAATGCTTGAGTGAATTTTCAATACTCACAGTGGAGTTGGCAAAAATTGAGTTGGAGTTGGCTGCAGGGTACCCTGCGTTTGTCAAGTCATCGCTGCTCTGCAAAGGATAAAGTCAGCATAGTGGTTACCGAGACCTGAAGAAGAAACCCAATGTGTGTCTCTGATGTGCTGTGTTACTTACAGATTTATTACTAGGTCCATGTAGAAAATAGTTCAGTGCTTGTGGGTCTCTGGAAAAGAAAAAGGAAAGAAAGAAGAAAGCAAATACATATCTAACCCATGTTTAGGATTATTACTAGGGCAAAATGAAAATGATTAGCCTGAGTAAAATCACTCGCTATTTTAAAATGATTTCCTCAGTAGTTTGCTTTATGTTATCCCATTTCCCATCATGACTCATTTCTGCCTTCCAGGACTCTGTGTGTATGTGTATGTGCAGGAGCTCAAACCTGGGTTTCTTAGATATTAAACATAGGCCCTACCACTGAGCCACACTGCTGGGGATTTCTAGAACAAGAATTTAGTAAGGGACTCCTAAATAATGACCCCATGTTGACAAAGACCTCCTTGACTTGACTTGCTACTTTGACTATCATGATTCTTTATTTTATTTATGTATTTTATCAGTATCAGGGATTGAACTCACAACCGCCTGCTTGCAAAGCAGGTGCTTATGCCGCTGAGCTAAATCCCTAGCCCCGATTCTTTATTTTAAAGCTCAAAGGGTTTTAATATAGTCAGGCTGTTTTGTTGAGGAAACTTCAGTGGTTGATTCCCTGGATGTGGGATAAGCCACTTACCCAATAAGATCGAGGAGACACGAGTCATCATCATCATCCATGACAACTGGAGGGAAGAAGAGGAAAGCAGGTTTCAGCAAAGCAGACGGGAGCCAGAGGCGTCGATGCAATGTACAACACACATGATGCTATTCTGGATAAACAATGCGCAATTTATGAGTTTTTCCTCTAACTGCTTACTATTAATGTGATTTCAAAAAACATCATTAGTCTTGGTGATCCCATAGTTCCAGCTGCTAAGGGGGCTGAGGCAGGAGGATCATTTGAGCCCAGGAATTTACGCCCTGGAGTTGGAGGCCAGTCTATACAACAGAGCAAGGTCTTTCTCAAAATAAATAAGAATTTGTTGTCTTTTGAGAAAGTTTTCATTTAAAGGGGCTGGGGATATGGCTCAGCATCACAGCACCTGCCTGGCAAGTGAGGTCATGAGTTTGATTCCACTGGTACCAAAAAAAAAAAAAAAAGTTTTTATTTTAAGCTGGGCGCAGTGGTGCACACCAGTAATTGTAGCAGTAAGGGAGACTGTGGCAGAAAGTTTACAAGTTTGAGAGCAGTCTGGGCAACTTATTGAGATTCGAACAGAACAGAACAGAACAGAACAGAACAGAACAGAACAGAACAGGACAGGACAAAACAGAACAAAAAACAAAAATCTTAAAAGGTCTGGGGGCCAGGCATGATAGTGCTTGTCTATAATCTCAGCACTCTGAGAGACTGAAGCAAAAGGATTGCAAGTTTAAGCCCCACCTAGGCAATTTAGCAAGATCCTGTCTCAAAATAAAAAATAAAAAAGGACTAAAGATGCAGCTTAGTGGTACAGTGTCCCTGGTTTTAGTCCCTACTACTAAAAAGGAAAAAAAAAATCAGGAAAGTACTCAATGTAAATGGTTTTTATTGAAAAAAAAAAAAAAACCCTCAAAAGCAAGAAAGATTCTAGACAGCAGATAGCTGGCAGCAGATTCCCCCAAATGGACCATAAACAAAGAGAACCATAACTTCCTTAAACGGGGAGTGAGCCAGGGGCGGGAGTGACGTTTGATTTGGAACAGCTGTCAGATTCAGGAGTCTGTGCGGTTTGTGGCTGTGTCTCTGAACATGGACAGCAACCTACAGCCATAGGTTGGCAGCCCTCACTCAGGCAGACAGAGAAGAAGGCCTGGCTTCTTGACAGAAGAAGCTTTGAGACAGAAGAGGGCCTGGCTTTTCCTCTGCAGCATGGCGCTGTTCAATTCCCAACAACCCATGTCCCAGCCAGGACACTGGAGTGGGAACCCCAGCCAGCGGTTCTCCTGAGCCCTGACAACTAAGCACATAGCTCCCACGAGTGACTCCCCGGATGCAGGTCACTTACACTAGTAATCCGCCACCCGGCAACACAGGCTTGCGCCACTGCAGCTGCGTGGAACAGCTGACATCACAGAATGCCAGCCCCTGGGTTCTGGGCGGCTGGGACAGGCGGCTATGAGCGGCAGCTGGCTGAGGGTGAAGCCCTGAAGAGATGCCCAGAGAAGGGACATGCCCAAGGCAAGGCAAAGTGTCTGCTCTGGCTAACCTGAATCTCCTCCCCGGCTCCCCCAGATCTGCCACTCTATCAACCACAAAGCCAAGGGGACGTGCACTCCTGCCACTGGCAGGTGAGTCCCCATGACCGCCTGGTGACAAGCTGTGTGCAACAAGAGCACAAGAGCTCAGTGGAAAGAAGCGACGACTGGGAGGAAGGGAGGAGGAAGAGAAAGCCTACAGGAGGCAACAGCCAGGGCTGGAAAGAGGAGGAATGCGAGCTAAGGGGATGGTGCTTGCCAGAGCTGGGTGGGGTCAGGTCACCACTGTGTCGGTGGCCAGGACTGTAGAGGAGTGGGGCCTGGAGGGGGTCAGGAAATTTGCCACCAAACAGATTTACAGTGCCCATGGGAAGGTGTCCTCTAAGCCTCGTGACACTGACAACGGTGGAACTGCATTGGCCACTACTGTTCTGTCATGGGCCGGTCTCTCAGACATCACAATCGCATGGAATAAATGAGACAATTGTGACATAATTAAGTCTATGGCCAGACATCATAGATCATTTCAACCCACTTCCACTGTATCCCTATTAGTTTATTTTTATTTTAATTATTTTCAGATAGGGTCTCATATTGCCCAGGCTGGCCTTGAACTCATGATCCTCCTGCCTCTGTTTTCTGAGTAGCTGGCAATTATACATGTGCACCATCTCACTGGCTGCAAGTTTACTTTTTTTTTTTAATGGTACCAGGGTTAGGGTTGAACTCATGACTGCATGCTTGCAAGACAGGTACTTATGCTGCTGAGCTAAATCCCCAGCCCCTATAAGGTTACTTTTAAAGTATCTCAAAGCTGGATGTGGTGGTGCATGCCTGAAATCTAGCATTCTGGGAAGCTGAGGCAGGCGGATTGCAAGTTCAAGTACAGTCTGAGCAACTTCGTGGTTTAGTGAGATCCTGTCTCAGAATGTGATAGGACAGTGTAATAGAAGAGAGCTGTGGATACAGCAGTGCAAAGACCCTGGGTTCAATCCCCAGCACCACAATTAATCAATCAACCCAGCACCTGGAGTTCTCTGATGTAAGCTATAATGAATAAAAGAAAACAGATCACATCAAAAATAAATTGCTCCCCCAGCCTCCTGCCTCCCTGATACCCTCACCTCCTTCCTTTCTCCATTTACTGGATCTCCAAGGTTGTCAAACAAGTTCTGAGGAAGGTCAGCCGTGGCACTGTCACCACAGTGTCCCTGCCACCAGGCCTTCCAATGACAGAACATTTGCTACCTTAGTGTGGTATGTGACAAGTCAGTCCTTAAAGAAATCGAAGTAAAAGGACCGCCTTATAGAAGTGAGAGATGAAAAGCCAGTGTGCACCCTGCTGCTTCACCAGAGGCTGGTCTCATTGACCTGGTAGCGCACTCCGTGGGGACACCCACTTCAGTCTGCAAACCACCTCCCAGGCAGGGTGCCTCCCCGGGAAATCTCTCAAGCCTGCACAGTCAGGATACCCCGGGAAGTCTACTTGTCACAGGGTCACATGCATTTCTGGGGACAAGTGATGAGCCTCCCATCCACCGCACCCTCGGGCACAGTCCCCAGGTGAGAGCTGCCTCTTTCCTCAATGTGACTCATGAGGTCCAGGCACCAAGGTAAACTCAAACTGACTAATTCAAAGGGGGAAACACCAGGGACTCAGAGTGAGGTGCTGAGAACCACCCTGATATTGGGGAGCAGGTGCTGAGGCCAGGTGGGGTTTGCAAGGCTGTGTGAAAGAGATGCCCCTCTGTCCGGGTGACTGGACCAAAGCATGTGACAAGACAAGGTGCCCCCATGGGGCTGGGGATTTAGCTCAGCGGCATAAGCACCTGCCTTGCAAGCAGGCAGTTGTGAGTTCAATCCCCGGTATCGATTAAAAAAAAAAAAAAAAAAAAAAAAAAAAGGTGCCCCCGCCACAGCAGCTATTGACAGTGGCATCTGTCAGAGTTCTGACAGCACCCACAGCTTAGAAATCCTGGCCCCAGACACTGGACTACTATCCCTATAAAAATGAAAGCTAATATTTAAAATTATTCTTAACAGAGTCAACAAATACTGTGACTAGCTTTCAATCAAGAGGACACCACGTCAAAGTGACATTTCAAAACAGCGGGGGGGGGGGGGACGTCAGCCACACGGAAGGAGGGCGTGGATCTATACCACATATCTCTGGGGGAACTATATCTCTATCCCTTTGTTTATTTTTCACTTTGAGATAAGGTTTTGGTTAAGTCACTAAACTGCCCAGGCTGGAGTTGAATCTGCAATCCTCCTGCCTCAGCCTCCCAAGAGTGGTGGGATTATAGGAGTATACTACCAGGGCTGGGTTCTATTATTTTTGTAATCTTTGTTTCTTTTATTCATAATGTCCTTTTTGCCCTGAATGTTCTAATTTTTCTCTGTACCACTACTTTTAGGCAATTTGATTATGGTGAACTTGGTATAGTTTTCATACTTATATTTGGGGTTCATTGGGCTTATAGAACCTATAGGTTTATAGTTTTGCTTCAATTTGGAAAAATTTCAGCTATAAAACGTTAAAATATTTTGTGTTCTGCCTTTTTCTGGGATCCCAATTATACAACTATTAAGCTGCTCGCTGATAGCATTTTTTTTCAATTATTTTTGTCTCTGGCTTTCAGTTGGGATAGTTTCTACTGCTGACTCCAAGTTCAATTCTTTTTCTTTTGCAGTATCTAACTTGGCTGTTCATCCCATCCCACCCATCCCATATACTTTTATTTTTAAACACTGTGGTTTTCAGCACTAAAAGTTCAGTTTAATGTCTTTCTGCAGTAATTCTGTCATCTGGGTAGTTTCTGACAGTGTCCCTGAGGATTTTACTGATGTTGTTCTCCTCATTATGAATGGTACTTCCTACTGCTTGCATCTCTGGTCATTTCTGCTTCACTTTTTTTTTTTAAAGAGATGGAGACTTCTATGATGCCCAAGCTGGCCTCGAACTCCTGCTGGGCTCTGAGCACATGGACACTTGCCACTGCACCTGGCGGACATCAGTTAAACGTTAATTATCGGAGGCTGGATATTTCTATGTCCATTACATATTTTTGTGCTTTGTACAGGACACAAGTAAGTTACTTGAGGAGACTGCAGACTTCCAGGGTGCTGTCTCCATGCAGCTCTCCACCCTGTGAGTTTCAGCCTTTGTGCCTCCTACCACATCAGCCCTGCTCAGGAAGGCCCCAGGGCCAAGCTGGGTCCCCGGCCCTGTACGCTGGCCTCACAGGAAGCTGAGGTGCATTTAGGGTATAAGCAGTCACTGCTCTGTGCTGCTTGAGAACCCAGGTGCAAAACCAGTTTGTCCAGTATCCAACGTTTTAAGGCAGAAAGGTAAAGAATAGAGAAGAAGAACGGGGGCATGGACCGATGAACTGCACTCTTCTCTCCTGCCTCCTGTTTCCTACCCTGGAGAAGGACTTAGGAAATGGGAAGCTTGCTTCCTTATTTCTATCTTTAATCTAGCTGTTCAGTGGGTATAAATATTCATTATTCATTTACTGCAAATTTAGCACACTGTGCGTGTTGGTACTAGGTTAGGAGCGGGACTATCAAATGAGGATGTCCTAAAATATGGTGGACAAACAAAAAATGCTGCATATTTTAACACTGCAAAACTGAAAAGTAAACTATTGTGTTTAGACAAAAATAATTTTTTGGTAGGTCTACTAGAGATCAAATCCAGGGCTTTGTGCATGCTAGGAAGTTCTTTACTACCCAGCCCTTTTTACTTTGGGACAGGGTCTCACTAAGTTGTCCAAGATGACCTTTTAAACTTGTGATTTTCCTGCCTCAGCCTACTGAGTAGCTAGACCACGAACATGTGCCATCAGCACCTATTTCAAAGATAGCAAGATATATTACAGTAGCCATGCTGGATTTACTGTTGGCTTGTTTTGAAATCCTTTACTATAATCATTGCTTTGTTTTTATTCTATTGTTTTTTACTATGTCCAAAGTTACCTACAGCTATTTTGAAGATATCAAAAGGCACTAAGGTAACTATTGTTGATTTCATAATGTTTTGAAGTTCTGTATCTTTTACTGGTTTGTTTTGGTGTTTTATTTTCTTTAAAATAAAAAGAAAACACGTGCCATCATACCCAGCTAAACAATTTCTTAAAGAGTATCATGATCAAAAAATGTTGCCATGAAATAGCCTCTAATGGTACAGAGTTTTTGTTCCACTCTGCTTACTGTACTGAAATTGTTCTGGACTATTAAAACTGTATTGTGGGGCTGGGGATTTAGCTCAGCGGCATAAGCGCCTGCCTTGCAAGCAGGCAGTCATGAGTTCGATCCCTGGTACCGATAAAAAGGAAAAAGACAAAAAAAAAAAAAAGATAAAACTTGTTTTTTTTTTTTTTTTTTGTCTTTTTCCTTTTTACTGGTACCGGGGATCGAACTCACGACTGCCTGCTTCCAAGGCAGGTGCTTATGCCGCTGAGCTAAATCCCCAGCCCCCAAGATAAAACTTGTATTGCAAACCTCTGCCTCCAAGCTTGGTTTCTGCTTTTAAAAGAACTCTCTTTTAGGAGAGAGCTAGGAGTTCTTCTTCAGAGAGCTTCAAAGAGAACTAGGGGCACTTCTTCAGATAATATCACTGGGCTCTTTGTGAAATAATGATACTAGAAAAAATATGATTATATTTTCATTGTTTTATACATTTGTAATAAGTGTCCAACACAACAGCACTTCATCCTGTCACCAGGCTCAAGGCTGAAAGAGAAAGTGGAAGACTAACAAAAATTATTAGGGGAAAAGTTAATGAATTAAAAATTCTCCACAGGGCTGGGGATTTAGCTCAGTGGCATAAGTGCCTGCCTTGCAAGCACAATTGTGAGTTCAATCCCCGGTACCAATTAAAAAAAAAAAATTCTCCAAAGGCAGAAAAGAAGACAATATGGCATAAGATTCTAGTGAAGTGCAGCTTTGAGGTCTTTACATTTTTCATTCCTACTTGGAATGAGGTGGGGTAAAAATGAGCCCAGTATCTTAAGTCCTCTAGCTAGCTAGCAAACAGTGTGCGGTAACAGTGGCAGTGACCACACTTGGCACAGGAAGCCTCAGGCCAGCTTCACAGACACTGGGGGAGCACAGGGAGGACCAGGGGCTGACCTGGATGTTTACGCTCAGTGTGACTGACCACAAGTTCCAACTTCTTGGGCCTGCATTTTCCCATTTTTAAATGAACTTAGGAGAGCACATAGGTTATTGTTTCTATCTCGAGACAGGGTCTTGGTACATTTTCCAGGCTGGCCTTGAACTCACTGCACAGCCCAGGCTCACCTTCAACTTGCAGTGATCTGCTGCTCAGCCTCCTAGTGCTGGGATGACTGGTGTGTACCACCAGCCTGGCTCACATTGGCGATTTTTAAACTTTGTTCCTCAGGGACCTAGTGCTCTCTGAGGCATCCAGGACCTGTGGCTGGTGGAGGCGGTAGCTAAGGCCACTTCTTTCTCACACTCCACCTTCCACTAAGTGGGCTCAACACTCTCTCCACAGGGAGGAAAAAGTGTGGCGATCATTTAACTTGCCCTGCTGGAACTCCCTGAGCTGCCTTGGGCTATCACCTACTGCACAGGAATGACCACCAACAATGGAGCCACAGTGAAGCCTGAAGTCAAGACATCCAGGATTATTTGAGCAGGAGGATGAGAAACTGAAGCCCAGGCCTCAGGGAGATAAATTCCAAAGGTGAGGACAGTCCCAAACTTGCTGATTGGACAACCAATAACTGCACAGATGAGACCTCAGACACAGTGGTGAGGACATGGTCTCGGTGGTCTAGTTTTCAAGTTTGAGAAACCAATTCTATCACTCTAAGAACTAACAAATTCTATCACTCAGAAATGAACACACTTAAGCTGACAGAAACTGTGCTTAACATAGTTCTCAAAGACTGCTCGGAAGCTTTTTATCTTTCACTTTGAAAGCCGGGGACTGAACTTCAGGCTGAGGGCTTGCTAGGCAAGCACCCTACACTGAATTACGCCCCGGCCTCTCAGGCTCCAGCTGCAAGAATCCATTGCTGTTATGCTGGTACACACCATTCATGGACACAAAGCCCACCCCGGGGGTGGGGAAGCCTCCCTCAGCTGCTAATTTTATACCAGGAACCACTGGTGGGTGGTGTCCCAGGTCCTTGATTCGATCCCACAAATCTTGGGTGAATCTGAGTACAGACTTGCAGTGGTTTAAAGTATACAATACTGAAAGCTCCAAAGCCCTGTGACACTGCAAACGCTCTACCTGCTGGAACCCCACCTACCAGGAATGGGAAAGAGGTCTGGGTATAGTTCAGCTAACAATTATAATGGACATTTTAATCACTATAGACAAGCACCCAGAGAAAAAGAATGGAGAAATGATACCAAAAACGCCACTATCCTAATTCCTTTCCTTTTGTTTTTCTTTAAGATGGGGTCTTAAATGTTGCCCAGGCTGGCCTCAAAGTCCTGGGATCAAGTGGTCCTCCTGCCTCAACCTACCAAGAAGCTAGGAATTCAGGCATGTGGTACTGCACCTGGCTGATTTTCTATTAAACATTATGCAAAATTAAACTGAAACTACAATAATTAACAGTACTTCAGTACCTAGAATACTATGTATTAAAAAGTTGATCAACTACTCAGACATAGCACTTACTTTCAACAGAATTTTTATATTATATATAAAATTATATATAATATAAAAATTACAGAATTTTTATATTATACTTCCACATAAAAGTTGCAGTTGGGTATGATGGCACATGCCTGTAATCTCAGCACTCATAAGGCTGAGACACGAGGATAACTGTGAGTTCAAGGCCAGCCTGAACTGCATAGTGAAACCCTGTCTTAAAAAGACAAAAAATAACCGTGGGAGCAATGAAACCCAAAATGTGTAATAGCCATTGTACAAAAGAGAGGAAAAGAAAGTGCTCTAAACTATATAACTGCATGTATATTTAAGTGTATAAGATAGAAAATGATATCACAGAGTTTTATTGGATCATTGAACAGAACTGTTTGCAGTATCATTGTTGGAATGTCTACTCTACAAGCTTTAATTTTGTGACTTGAACAATTATTTCTAAGATGGCAATATGTAATCCATTAACTAGTGATTTCCTACTGTTCATTTTTTTTCTGTAAATCTGTATAACTTGTACCCTTTCACTGTTTTTTTTTTCCTTTTCTCCTTAAATAAAATTTAAAAAAAAAAAAGACAAAAAATAAAGTTGAATTCCTGTTTTAATCATTGATTGTCACATGTATTACTTCCTTTCACTAAAAATAACCAGTTAGGGGCCAGGGGTTTAGCACAAAAGCATAAGTGCCTCCTTGGCAAACACGAGGTCATGAGTTTGATCCCTGGCACCAAAAAAAATAAAAATAAAAATAATCAGTTAAAGACAGTCACTGCCCAGTGACAAGCTGAGTTAGGTAGCAAAAGCAGCAATACCAATTCTTTTCTTTTCTTTTTTAAGATAGGGTCTTTCTGTAGCCCAGGCTAGGCTTGAATTTGCAGCAATCCTCTTGCCTCAGCCTCCCTAGTGGTGGGATTACAGGCGTGCGCCACCATGCCAATTTTGGCTAATAATGCCAATTTTGAAACAAGTCTTCCACAAAGCTGAGGTTGGCTATGTATCAGCCAATAGCACACTAGTAAAACATTTTAGAAACAGGAATTAAAAACGAGTAAGGCAAAAGTAAGTCTTACTTGTGTCTTCTCCATAAAAACACATACCTAAATGTTAAACAGAAACTGCTCTAATACTTTTTCTGATTTCTAGTTTTACTTAAAAAAATAAAAAAGTACTTAATCCCCAGTATCAAAAAACAAAAACAAAACCAAGTACTATAATAAATAAACTGGAACTTTATATGACATTTATATTTTTCCTAATATAGAGGATTTATGTTAGAAAACATTTTAAATGAAGTAAAAGCAATGATTCTACCAATGTGACTTTTTCAGAGAACAATGGACACTTTTACATGATGCCAGCATAAATGGCAAAAAAGGAAAAACTGCTGTTTGCATCCCCATCCCACAACCAGAAAATTCCCTGAAATACAATGCCATAAAATTAAGCCTTTAAAATAAAAACAATCTGACTTTACCAGTGTTAGTGTGGTTTGTATATGTTATTGTCCCCACGGATGGTATTGCTTTGAAAACATTTGGAAATGGCAGTGATTATAAACAAGATATATTTTCCTTTAATTACACACTGGTGCTAGGGATCTGGCTAAGGCCGCTGTACAAACTCTTAAGTCTGTGGCACATTCCAAGAAAAACAAGGCCTGCAAAAACAACCAACAGCGTTAACAAGCGGAGCTCCATCTTACCAAGGCAGTCACATTGCCACGGGAGAGACTCGGGGGCTCCCTTTTACAAAGGGAGACTCCAAAGAAGGATGTGAGGCAAAATAAATTTTTCAAGCTGGAAAACAAGGTGACTTCTTAAAACTTAAAAATGATTTAAGATGTCTGGGACTACAATTTAGCGATGGGACGCTTGCCTAGCACTTGTGAGGCCTTGGGTTCAATACCCTGTGCCACAAAACAAGCAGGATTTAAAAAGGAATATGGGCAGATATGCATGCAGCATAAAACTTGAAGCAAGGTTTCACAATGAATTTCTAAAAAGATTTCGAAGATGCTGAATTATCATTTCCCTCAACTTTCTTTAAGAGACATAAACTACCTAGTATAAAAAGCTTTGTTTTGAGATAGGATCTTCTCACTATTGTGTCCAGGCTGGGCTTGAAGTCACCATGCAAGCCAAGCTGGCTTCAAACTTCTGATACTCCAGCCGCTGTCTCTGGAGTGCTGGAATTACAAGTGTGCATCGCCACACTGGGTTCTAATACAAAAAGCTTTTTTTTTTTTTTTTTTGTCTTTTTGAGACAGAGCTTCACTATGCAGTTCAGGCTGGCCTTGAGCTCATTTTTCATTTTGTAGCCCAGGCTGGTCTCGAACTTGCAACAATCCTCCTGTCTCAGCCTTCCCAGTGCTGAGATTACAGGTGTGAGCCACCATGCCTGGCTCTATAGAAAGCATATATATAAACTTTTATGCATGCTCAGAAATATTATATAAACTGAATTTTACATCTGCAGTTATTTTTAGTAATAGTCGGATACAGAGTTCCAGCTGGAAAAGAGGAAAAGGTTTTAGAAAAGGAGAGTGGTGATGTTTCTAAAACAATGTTAAAAACTGAATATGGTGGCCCACACCTGTAATCCCAGCACCGGGAAGCTGAGGCACGAGGATCCCTAAAAGTCTGAGGCCAGCCTAAGCTACACAGTTCAAGGCCAGCCTGAACTACAGGGAAGCCCTCTCTCAAAGCAAACAAACAGCTTTAAAAAAACGAGACTACATTAATGTACTTAATGCTACAGAATCATATATGTAAAAACGGTTAAAATAATTAGTTTTGGCTTTTTAAAGCAGGGTCTCACTGTGTAGCCCAGGCTGTCCTGGAATTTAAAATCTTTCTGCCTAAACCTCCCAGATTCTGGTATTACAAAATGGTTAATTCTTCTATGTTATGTATGTTTCTACCACAATAAAAATACATATGAATATTGTTATTTTTCTTTAAAACACTAGGGTTGGAGGTGGAGCTCAGTGGTACAGCACTTGTCTAGCACATATGAGACCCTGTGCTCAATCTCTGCCACCAGGAAAAAAATAAAAATAGTAAGACAATCTCATGATGAGATTCACATTATATATATATATATATATATATATATATATATATATATATGCTTTATTTATTTTTACTAAGACATAAAACACTACACATTTTGGGGGCCCATGCAACGTGATGCTGCCTGCCTATCTCTGCATAGTGTTTTCCCCCGCTGAAAAGGTTGCTCTTTGCAGCCTCCCATTGATGATCAGTGGGTTTATCTAATTTCAAAAATGATGTAAATAAAGTACATGTTTAGAAACATTTCATTCTCTCTCAAGAATTCTTGCTACAAATACCATCCAAACTTGTTTGACTCTAACCAGTCATACATCTCTGGTTGGACAACCAACTTCTATAAAAACATTCTTTTCCTTTGCTGAGTTTTAGGATGGATGCTCACTGCTGGGGGGAAAGACACATCTGAGTCCCTTGGCTGAAACCACCCAGCACAGGGGTAGTGGTGCAGCTCAGCCGTTATAGTGAGCTACATCCTTTTTTTTTTTTTTTTTTTTTTTTTTTTTTTTGAGACAGGGTCTTGCTAAATCACCAACTTCCTCAAGACTGGACTCGAACTCTCAATCTTTCTTTTTTTTGTCTTTTTCCTTTTTATCGGTGCCAGGGGTTGAACTCACAACTGCCTGCTTGCAAGGCAGGCACTTATGCCTGCTGAGCTAAATCCCCAGCCCCGAACTCTCAATCTTTCTGCCTCAGCTTCCCACAATCTGAGATTACAGGCATATACTATCCTACCTAGCTAAAAATTTTTAAATTATAACTTGCAGGTGTGATTTTTCATCAACGAGTAAGAGCACAAGATTTAATGGTGGGTCTAAAAATTACTAGAAAGCAGTGACCTCTCAAAATATCTGCAAATGTTCTAGTTCTCTAGTTCCAGTTCCAAATGAATTTTAGGACTGTTTTCTCTAATTTTATGAGGTATGATATTGGTATTTTGATTACATACACACAAACTTTAATGTTACTTTATCTTTTTTGAGACAGGGCTTCACTATGCAGTTCAGGCTAGCCCTGAACTAACTTTGTAGCCCAGGCTGGCTTCAAACTGGCAGTAATCCTCCTGCCTCAGTCTCTCAAGTGCTGGGATTATACACATGCACTACCATGCCCAGTGCCGCTGGTATTTTGATTGGGGTTGTATTAGATCTGTATAGCAGTTTTAGAAGTATGGTCCTTTTTACTATATTGGTTCTGCCTATCCAAGAACAAAAGATACCTTTTCATTTCCTGATATCTTCTTCAATCTCCTGTCGAGAGAACTACAGCTTTCAAAATGCCTTTTGCTTCCTTCATTAGACTGAGTCCTAAGTGTTTCATTTTTCTTGATGTTGTTATAAAAGGTGTTGTTTCCCTAATTTCTCTCTCAATGAGCTTGTTATTTGTGTATAAGAATGCTACTGACTCCTTGCAACCCCCAACTACAACAACAGCCTATCAGTAAACCAGTTTAAAATTAAAAGAAAAAACCAAGAATGCTACTGAGTTTTTAGTTCTGACTTTGTATCCTGCCACATTACTGAAGCTGGCTATTAAATCTAGTAGTCTTTTTGGTGGAGTTTTTGGGGGTCTTCTATGCAGAGCATCATGTCATCTGTAAAGAATGATAATTTAACTTGTTTATTCCCTACTCTTATTCATTTTCTTTCTTTTTCTTGTCTAATTGCTCTGGCTAATGTTTCCAGAACTATAGTGAATAGGAGAGATAGGAGTAGGAATTCTTATCTTGTTCTTGATTTTTTAAATTTTGTTTCTGATTTTAGAGTGAAATGTTTCAGTTTCTGACCATTTAGCATGATGTTGGCTGTGGGTTTTTCATAGACAGCTTTTTTTTTTTTTTTTAATTGGTACTGGGGATCGAACTCATGACTGTCTGCTTGCAAGGCAGGTGCTTATGCTGCTGAGCTAAATCCCCAGTCTCCATAGACAGCTTTTATTAGATTGAGATAAAGACTTCTATTCCAATTTTCTGCAGAGTTTTTATTATAAATGGATGTTGAACTTTGTCAAATGTTTTTCTGCATCTACTGAGATGACCATGTAGTTTTTGAACTTGGCTCTGTTAACATGGTATATTACATTTATTGCTTTGCACATGTTGAACCATCCCTGCATCTTGGGATGAATCCTAGTTGGCCATGGCGTAATCCTTTCTTGATAATGTGCTGCATTCTGTTTGTCAGTATCTTACTGAGGATTTTTGCATCTATATTCATTAAGAAGAATGGCTTGTAGTTCCCTTTTTTGGTTGGAGCCTTCTGTGTACTTTTTGTTTGGTTTCCTCTCTTTTTTACTCTGGTTTTGATATTACAGTAATGCTTCTGGGCAACCAAGGCAGGGCAGGATGCATAACAATCCCCAACCTGAAATTATAC